GGGGGTAAGGGGCAAGTCCCCCCCCCCGCTCCATGGAAGAGGCAGCGGTGGTATGTGATGGGGGGGAACCGGGTTGGGGCTTTCACAGCAAGGTTGGGGGCAGGGGGAATGGCCCCCAACTCGAAATGAGATTGTGATGTCACTGCCTACACAGTTTGATGGGTCGACAATTGGCTGGAGGGCTGCACCCAGAGAGTGTTGGTGGATGGGTCATTTTTAACTGGGAGGGATGTGGGCAGTGGGGTCCCCCAGGGCTCGGTCCTTGGGCCCGCACTGTTCAACATCTTCATCAGCGACGTAAAAGCACCCTGTTCAAATTTGCTGATGACACAGATGTGGGGAGAAGTGGGCACACTGGAGGGGAGGGACAGAATCCAACTACATCTAGACAGGTTAGAGGCGGGCGGATGAGAATAGGATGGAATTCAACTCAGACAAGCGCAAGGTGCTGCATCTAGGGAGAAGGAACCTGCAACATACCTATAGGCTGGGGAACTCCCTTCTCAACAACACAGTGGCTGAAAGGGATCTTAGAGTCATTGTTGACTCCAGGATGGACATGAGCCGCCAATGCGCGGAAGTGGTCAGGAAGGCTAACCACATCTTTTCATGAATCTACAGATGCATCACAAGCAGATCCAGGGAGGTGATCCTCCCCCTCTGTGACTCTGGTCAGGCCACAGTTGGAGTACTGTGTCCAGTTCTGGATGCTGTACTTCAAGAGGGATATGGCTAACCTTGAGAGGGTCCAGAGGAGGGCCACACGCATGGTCAAGGGGAAGCAGGCCAGGCCCTACGAGGATAGACTAAAGGGCCTGAATCTTTTCAGCCTCCACAAGAGAAGACTGAGAGGGGATATGGTAGCCATCTATGAACTCACCAGGGGGGACCAGCAGAAAATCGGTGGGGCTCTATTCCCTCGGGCACCACCTGGGGTAACAAGGAATAATGGCCACAAACTGATTGAGAGCAGGTTCGCGCTAGATATCAGGAGGCATTACTTAATGGTTAGGGCTGCCAGGCTCTGGAATGGGCTCCCAAGGGAGGTGGTGCTCTCTCCTACCTTGGGGGTCTTCAAGAGGAGGTTGGATACAGTTCTGACAGGTATTATGATCCCAGCACTCGTTCCTGCCCAGGGCAGGGGGTCGGACTTGATGATCTGTTCAGGTCCCTTCCGACTGTAGAAACTATGAAACTATTCTCTGGACTTCTGTATAAATGGCTCTGAGCATAGTTATGGTAGATTCTGTTGTGTAGCATGATAATGACTATGGAAGAAAACGTTCTGGTGTAAGATATTTGGCACATAGAGACGCAGGTCCTTAAATCTTAGGGTATTTGGGGGGATTGAGATTCAAAGTGTCTCATATTTTGAATTACAAATTTCTTTTCTGAGTGGAAACTAAGAGGAAGAGGAGGTTCTGTGATTTCGCACGATTAGAAGTGCTCAACTTGAGTGAAATACCTGCAGTATTCACTACCCATGGAAGTGCAGTTTGCCACAACTTTGAAAAGGACTATGGAGAGAAAGGAGTTAACAGGGTGTATATAAGGAAAAATCTTGATGACATACACCAAATAGATTATATCCTGCTTCCTTCTATGGAGCAGAATGCTTACGGTATGTCTGGGTGTTGTATCAACCGTACACCATAGGTCCCAGCTGTCTGGAGGTTCCTGGTGTAAGTCCAAGCTTTTCTCATCTGAAGGAGAAGGATGGTGCTGCAGGAAAGATCATTATGTAAATAGCCATATATTTTTCCATTGCTGTTTCACGTTCATAAGTTACAGAGCCTACTTCAGCCATAGCAGTGTCACAGTGGCTCTGGAATGGATTTGAACAGCCTTCAGAACCTGGGGAAAGGATTCCTTTCCACTTTAACTCTCTAGAGCAGGGGTTTTCAACCTTTTTTAGTCTAAGTACCCGCAGCGGCTAGACATGGAGTGGGGAGAGAGAAGTGTGGGGAGGTAGCATGTGGCCAAACACTGGGGAGGGGGTAGTAACATGTGGCTGGACACAGAGCAGGGAGGCAGGGACGGTGTGCAGGTGGGTGGGGACGAAGCACCACTGCTTCCCAGGAGCAGGGCTTGGGCAAGGCAGGGAAGCTTACCGAGCTGGTATGTGGTAGTGGCAACTGCCATATGTGAACTTCACCCCACAGAGGGGCTTTGCTGCCCTGCTTCTAGGAGGTGGTGGCACTCTGATCCCGCCCGCCTGTGGTCCATCATGAAGAAATATAGGAGTTTTCTAGGCTAGGGA